AAACATTTTTATTGTGATTAGTTATTGTGATTAGTTTAAGTGGAATAATTGTTTTTGGTGCAATGGGTTTTATCACAAAATATTATCTTTTTAGTTTAATTAAAAATGTGACTTTGAAGAAGTTAAGATTTAAAAGATAATTAAAGGAAAAAATAATGTTTTAAATTTTGTTAATTCTTTAATTGTTACTTTACCTTCAAGAAAAAGATTAACTATTGGGTGAAATTTTGGTAGAATGCTTGGTATAGTGTTAATGTTTCAGATTTTTACTGGTACGTTTTTAGCATTTTATTATGTGGCTGACGGTTCAATGGCTTTTAGTGCAGTTCAGTATATTATGTATGAGGTTAATTACGGTTGAATTTTTCGAATTTTTCATTTTAACGGGGCTAGTTTGTTTTTTATTTTTTTGTATTTGCATATTTTTAAAGGTTTGTTTATAGTAAGTTATCGATTAAAAAAAGTGTGAGTTTCTGGTTTGACAATTTATTTGTTAATTATAATAGAAGCTTTTATAGGGTATGTGCTGGTGTGGGCACAGATAAGTTTTTGAGCTGCTGTTGTTATTACTAGTTTGTTAAGGGTAATTCCTATTTGAGGCCCTGTTATTGTAATGTGAATTTGAAGGGGGTTTGGTGTTACAAGTGCTACATTAAAATTTTTTTTTGTTTTACATTTTTTGTTACCTTGGGGTCTTTTAGTGTTGGTTTTAGCTCATTTAATGCTGTTACATAGAACAGGGAGAACTTCTATTTTATATTGTCATGGGGATTATGATAAAATTTGTTTTGGTCCTGATTATTGAAATAAAGATTTTTATAACGTAATTTTTTGATTTGTTTTTGTGATTTTTGTTATATTTAAGCCTTTTAGTTTAGGTGATCCAGAAATGTTTATTGAGGCCAACCCTATAATAAGACCGGTGCACATTGTGCCAGAGTGATATTTTTTATTTGCTTATGCTATTTTACGTGCTATTCCTAATAAAGTTTTAGGTGTTTTGGCTTTGTTAATAAGAATTGTAAGATTTTATTTTTTTGTATTTTTTAATAATTATTCATCAATTTTAAATAAATTAAATAAATGGTTAGTTTATAGATTTATTATTTCGTCTATTTTGTTAAGTTGATTGGGTCAGTGTTTGGTGGAAGAGCCTTTTACCACACTAAGTCCTATTTTTTCGTTTATTTATTTTTTTATTATTTTTATTATAATATTAATATTTAATTTTAGTAAAAAATTGTTTATTTACACATTTAGTATATTTAATATATTAAATTTAGATTTTAAAGAATTATTAATGTGTTTTGTTACATAATTTTCATATTTTAAGATTATCAAGTTATGCATATTTTATGTTTTTTGCTACCTTGGGTTTGACTAGCTCTTTTGTAATTTTTTTTAAATATGGTTTGGTTTTACCCTTTATTTTTAGGTTGTTTGTGGTGTTGTTTATTGCTTTTGCATGGGGCAAAGACATTAGAATAGAGGGGTTAAGGGGGTATCATAATTTTTTTGTTATAGACGGGTTTAAGTTTGGTGTAATGTTGTTTATTTTCAGTGAATTTATATTTTTTTTTAGAATTTTTTGAGTTTTTTTTGATGCTGCTTTAGTGCCTGTGCATGAGTTGGGGGAAAGTTGGTCGCCTATAGGATTACATTTAGTTAATCCATTTGGTGTGCCGTTGTTAAATACAATTATTTTGTTAAGAAGCGGTGTAACAGTTACGTGGGCGCACCATAGTTTGTTAAGTAATAAAAAGCTGCAC